ATGAAAATAGAGGAACCAGCAGTTAGCATAATGGCTATGTCGCTGGACTCCCACGTAGTCGACCGTGATTCGAGTCCTGGACCCGGTGGCTTAAACTCACACCGGGCGCATGTGTGTGCATGCCCAAGATCCCGAGAGGAGAATGGAGGAGAAGGGATTGCGGCGTGGTCATCCCCCGTGGGGGGTAATTTCCTGCTTTCTGTCTCTCTCTCCTCTCTGTCTGTCTGGTGAGCGCATGTGCCCTATAGTAAAAACCTCTCAAAAAAAAAAAAAAAAAGAATATAGAAGGCCAGCAAATGACATGATGGTTAAGGCATTGGATTCCCACATGACTAACCATAGTTTGAGTCCTGGATCTGGTGGTTTGCTTTCTCACTTTTCCCCCTTTCTCGCTCTGGGTCTCTCTCTGGTCAGATAAAAAGAAAAATAATGAATGAAATGAAATAAAATAGTTCTTTATAAAAATGAATATAGAACACCAGGAAATCATTAATAAGGTGAAAAACACACATATTAGGAGAGGGTAAAACTATTAAGGTTCTTGGAGACTGCAGGTAGTGTGGTGGTTAAAGTGCAGGACTCCCACATGACCGACTGTGGTTTCAGTTCTGGACCCTAGTGGCTTACTTTCTCAGTTTCTCTCTCTCTCTCTCTCTCTCTGTCTCTGCTGAGCATATGTGCCCTATAGCAAATTAATAATAATAAAATTACATTTTTTTAAATTAAGGTTTCTTCACATAAAGCAGAAAACATAGGTGAGTGAGCGTCTTTCTCTAACTGAATGGTAATGATGGCTTAAAGTTTTACCATCATAGTCTCTATTTTCTAAGAGGATTCAACAAGCGTTAGGTTTAAAGCACACTTTGAGGACTTTAGTTTTATATTAGGAAGAATCTGTTGCCTGAGAAGGTGATCAAACAGTGTAACAGCACAACAAGAAGCATTGGGGGAGCTCCCCTTGGAGACCTTGCAGTGGTGTCAGTAAGGCACTCTGTCTGGATGTTTACAGGTGTATCCTGTGTAAGACTGCTGTTCATGTGTGAGTAGTTATGATGAAATAAAAAGCAACCTTTTTTATCCTATCAGAAGATCATTTTTTATCATTTAAAATGCCCTATAGTGCCTTTTTATTTTATTAGGTTGTTGGAAAAATCATTATGTATTTTTCTATGCAAAAATGTGTCATGACTTTTCTGACAACTTAATATATTCTGTCATCTCTGCTAGACTTAGTGACCTACCATTCAGTCAGTACAAACTCTGGGGACAAGATTAGAAAAGTAAAATTGATTCAGAGAGAGAAGTTAAGCAGCAAAATAACCTTTCTGAAACTACAAGGCAAAATACTCAATTAAAAGATTTCTGTACTCTGGAGTTTCAACTGTATGTATATTATTTTGAAATTTAGGTTACATGTGTGTAAGTTATTCTGTTAGGATTCTTTTTTTAAGAAAGAGATTTTTGCTATAGGGCAATGTGCTTGCTGGAAAAAGTGAGAAAGAGAGAAATCCTCTCCGCCCCCAGGAGGGGTGGCCACGCTGCAGTCCCTTCTCCACTCTCCTCCCAGGATTTTGGGCATGCATGCCTATGCACCTAGTGTGTTTTAAGCCACCAGGTCCAGGACTTGAACCACGGTTGACTAGGTGAGAGTCCAGTGACATAACCATTTTGCCATCTGCTGGTCCCCATATGTTAGGGTTCTTATTATACTACTTTTATTTTAATGTACAAGTCTATCTTTTCTACTAGTCCATCCTCCTTGACAGCAGGGA